CAAAGTCTCCAGTAGCAGAAAAAAGTTGCTAGATTTGGCGCTTTTTTGAAACAATAGTGCTAGAAGGGTCTGAAAACTCACTAAATATAGAGACTAAAGCGCTAAGTTTAGTCTCTATATTTAGCGAGTAAGTAAGTTTGCTGCTGTCTGATTGGACCTTTCTGAACATGTGCAGCAAATGGACTGATCCAATATAGTGGACACTGAAGGGGGGGCTGAGACGCACTTAATATTATAAGCGTTCTGATCGCATTTTCGTGAAAGTATTTTTATCAAAAACATAATTAATGTGCACAGATAAGGAATAGCTGTAGTAACAATACATGGAAATACAGTTTTATGGGCCCCCAGGAATTTGGGGCCCTGGGCAGCTGCCTAGTATTGCCTAATGGTAAATCCCCCCTGGATCCGTGGCACTTTGGTGAACAGAGGTTTCAACAGCTGTGACGGTTTTATCGTAGCAGAAAATTTAGATTTGATTTCTTTATAGATCGTAAAGATGGTTGAGGGAATGCAGAGCAGATCTAGAATGATCCGGATCAGATGTCCCAGGAGGTTATGTGGACATCTATGTCCTCAAAGATCCTGCAGCAACAGTTTACCTTCACTCTCTAACATCTTCAGCTTTAGTTTACACACAGATCGGCTTCTCCCTGGTCAGAGGAGGGAGGCCTTCTGCTTCAAACCCCAACTTGGATGAAGCGTTGCAGCCTTCCTGTCCAAACACATGGCGCCGAGCCGTCACATGACGACGTGTTCCCACGCAGAGTCAGCCAGCAGGAATCCAGAGTATGTCCACAGCTGTGGGAGGCTGTGGGAGGACTGGGAACAGAAACCAGCTCCTGGTTCTGCTGCTTCTGTTCCAGCAGCCATGAGATGATGACTCCTCTCTGGAGCGTTTATCTGCATGCTGACCTAATGGATCTGAACCTGCAGGAGAACCACTGAGGATTAAAGCCTCTCTGGTTCTCCTGTGGGTTATTGATCACTGTGAACCAGACCCCCCCATCCCAGCAGATCTGAGATTACTTTAATTGATTTAAAATATTAATGGCGGACAGGAGGGCGATCTGTGCGTCATCTGATGGATTTAACACCTCGAGTTTTGAACATTTATATCTGGTGATGAGCTCAGAGTTTGGATGGACTCTCTGCCATCACCCTTATCTGGTTCTATCAGAATCCAGTTAGAACTCCAGAACGTTTATATCAGAGCCAGTTAAAGAGAAACATGTGGGTCAAATGAATGGAGGACGTTACTCTGTGGGGGCGTGAATAGTTTAGTTATTTAATCAGAAGATCTTCAGTTGGTCTTAAAGGACAATAAGGAAAAGGAATTTTTTTCCCCTCCTAAACACATGTGGACAGAACTGTTTAATCCTCTGAATTCCAGGTTCTTACGTCTTCTCCTGTCTCTCCTCCCAGTCGATCCAGTCTGAACGCCAAGTTCCAGGAGACGCTCCCTCTGAACTGCGAGCAGCCATACCTCTCCCCGGCTGTCCTTAGTATTCCTACGCCCGGCACCTCGCCGGACGGAGACCAGTCCACCAGTTCCACCGACTACTCCCAGACCAACATCGTCCGGGTTTCTGCTCTCTAGATCCCCTCTGGCCTCCCTTCCCTCCGACCTGCTGCTCTCGTTGCTGAGGCCGGGCTCCGACTGTGAGGGCGGGGCCTACCATGGAAGAAGGAGCATCTCCATCACTGACGGAGCTGGAACAGTATTCCTTTCCTTTGTTTTTCCTTTCCTTTATTCCCTGATCAAACAGGCAGCTTGGTTCTCTCTGTGTTCAGGAGAAATGACTTTAATTATCTGAAGAAGAGCTTTTATTGACTGAATAGATTCAGAGTGAACATTAGATGAACCGGGTTCTTCAGCACAAATACTGGAATTAGAAACAATCCAGTTAGAAATAAACCAACCAGAACTTCCACCTGGACTGACTCCATAATCATACCGATGGTTTGGACCTGAAAAACCGGACAATACGTGAACATCCGCCTCGCCTTGTTGACCACTAAAACGCATGAACACATTAACCTGCTCTGATGTCATTTACGTCTCTTAAACCCTGCAGCTGCTTTTCTTTTCAATATTATCCTACATCTAAAACCAACATAGTGCAGGTGAAGCTGTTAATATCAGACCTAAAGCTTCATGCATCACCAGAAAACAATAGATCCCTGCAGCCAAATATCACTTAGGTGCCACTTTGCTCAGTGTCTGGAGGTTTTACTTCTGGGTCAACAGCCAAATAAACGCTCTGCTCTTCCTTTCCTGACCACATCCTGCAGGAATCAGGTTATCAGGGGGTCCAAGCCAGGAAATGCTCCCACCAAAGCAATGCAGTGACGGCTTCATATGTCCCATGGGACTGTAGTGACTACTGCTGGTTTTCAACCCTCCATCACAGTGTTTGGGCCATTCTAAGGCAATGTCAAAATATGGTTAAAAGTTAAAAAGGTTTGTTTAGTTTGGGAATTTTTAGTTTTAAAATGATTCTGGCTTATTTGCAGGGGAAATTAAAAAAAAAAATATAAACCAGCATCGAACTCGGTGAAGCTCATTATGATTCAGCTCTCTTTGGTGGGACTCGGTCTTCATCCTCTGTTCTCTCTAGAGAAGAGAAACTCCAGAGCATAATGCTGCCTCCGCCATGTTTCACAGTGGGCACAGCCTTGTCTTCCAGCCTGCTTATGATGAAAAACCAGAACAAACCAGATGTTCCTTCACTTCTTCCAGTCCTTCCTGACCATCTCCTTCTTAAGGCTTTATTTATATTCAGAAACCAGGTCGTCTGCATGTGTCGCAGTAAACGCAGATGTGCCCTACCCCTTCCGCAGACACTCTGCTGCACCTCTCCAAATATGTAGGTGACCACAGACAGGAGGCCTCTGATTGGTCAAATCTACATCTGCTCCACACTATGCGTATTTCCCGTTTGGTACCTTACCGACTTGCTTAAAGGTTAGTGATGTAATTAGCTCAGACCTCTACTTGTTTTTGATTCTTTATTTACGTTCGTTTCGTCTTTCCTTGATTCCAAAGTTTTTTGATTGAATCCTTTTTTATATTTCAAGCCGAATTTATTGGCCAGGTGATCCTCCGCAGCCATGAACCTGTCCTTGGTCTGGTTCAGGTGTGGTCTGGTTCTGATTGACTGTGATCTGCAGGGAGGTCAACCTGGAACAGAAAGCTGAAGAATGTTCTGATATTATTCACAGTGATATGAGCATGCACTGTTTGCAGAACCACTCGCTACTCGATCTAGAAATAACTAAAGATGTCTTAAATTAAGTGTATTTACCCTTAATTTGAGTAGGTAAATGAGATAGTTTGCCAATGGAGTGACTATTCCAGTAGTACTCTTAAAATAACATAATTTGATAATATGCACTTGAAATAAGACATTGCAATTGAGTTTTCTTATTTTAAATTATAAATTGTAAATTATCTTGTTCCATTGGCAAAATGTCTCATTTTACTCCTCAGTTCAAGAAAAAATGCACTTATTTTAAGAACAAATAACTTATCTAGATTTAGTTTTTTTCCAGTGCAGCATATCCATAGTCAGTATGCATGCACAAGACGTCAAATTTGCATTCATCCCTTTAGCTTTGTAGGAAAAATAGCCTTTAAACTACCTTGACGGGTGTGTATCCGTTTAGTAATGTACAAAAAAAACACAATTTAAGGTCAGATGGCCATATGCTTAAAAAAATACCAAAAACTAAGTAATTGAATAGTTTTTTTGTACATGAATAAAGGGATACATGCATGTTGAGGTAGTTTAAAGTCAATTTTTCCTACAAAACTAAAGGGATAAAATAAAGAAATAAACAGATATGCTGGTCTGACAGAACATCGGCCCAGTTCTGGCCTGCTTGTCTCTGCGCTGTTCATATAAACAATGTCTGTGACGAGTAAAGTTTCTTTTTCACTCTCATTCTCTAAAGCTGACTAATTGGTCTCTAAATGGACAATTTAATGGTTCGATTTGTAGATTTAAGGGTATTAATCAGCAGGAACTAAAACAGGAATAAAATGTTTACAGTTTGATTGATCCAGTTTCATTCTCATCAGAACATCCCTTTAATCTGCACATTATGGAACCCTTCATTCTTACTTTACTGATTTAAGTAATCCATTACAAACAGATTTTCAGGAAACTCAACAAAAGCACAAAATATATCAAAGATTATTTCTAAGATGTTTTAGATTTTATGAGCCAAGCACTGATTCCTTATTGATGGTTTATGTAAATACCTACATTTTTTATAATCTCATTTTCTTGTCAAAAGAAGGATCTTAGGCTAGGTGAAATTGAAAGGGAGGAGGAAGGTTTAAACATTTGTCTCGGTCACTGATCCCAGCTCATCTTCAGTGTAATGCTATCCACAGCAGCTAGCAGTTTTCTAAAGCCGGGCATACACTGTATAATTCTTTGCGCTTTTATTCCCGATTTTCCAGTCATGTGAGAATTTTTCGATCCGGCCGACTTTCAGCCTGATCGTGCGTTGTGTGTCCTGTTGTGTACGTAGGGGCGAGGGTAACGAGGGGCAATCAGCCGCTCATGACCACCTCCTGATCAGGAACCGTGAGGTCAGGAGAAAATCAAACATGTTTGAAACTCGGCCATCTTGGGCAAATTGCTCAGTGGGCAAACAAGGATTCTTCTTCTTCTTCTCCCTCACAGATGAAAACACAGCAGCATGGCGGGGTCCGAGAGAAATGGAGTTCTTTCTGTAAAATTGACAAACCGTAGTAGCCATGTTTGCTCAGCCATGTCTTTGTCCAAATACGTCATTGCCTTTTCTTTTTAGGGCTTTCAGCACAAAATTGCACAAATTGCCAAGGCAGCGCGTCTCACTCTAGTGAGCGTTTCACACTTTGAGTAGCACCATCTCACTGAAGAGCTGAGTCCGACGTCGTTTTTAGACTTACAGTGTGAGGCGGTAGATCCAATCAAAGAGTTTGGCCGCACAGTATGAGAACATACATCGACAGCTGTGAACATTTAAACCCTGCGGTTTCGTCGTACAGTGTGAGCTGTAGCTGCATGCAACGATTGAAAAAAATCATACAGTGTATGCCCAGCTTAAAGGTCATTCAGGTCTCTATGATATCCTATCAGTCCTTTTATTTTCCTGGATTTATCTGATTTTTTTGGATAAATAAAGCAAAGTATCATCAGCATAAAGAAGGAATTTGTCCCAAGCCAAAAATTTAGATAAAGATAAAAGTGGAAACATGTGAAGAGAACTGAGCTTTATGTTCCTCCATGCTTGGTTCTGAAGGGTCCGATAAATCATCTCAGGCCACGAAAAAAAGTTTAAAAAGTCCAGATTATCAGACATCTTTAATTAAACGTGTCTTATAATTTCTACCAGAACAGATTAATAGAAACACATAATTTCATTAAACTCAGCAGTGGCTGACTTGGATTTAATTTAAGGCAGAAAGTTGCAGAAATATTTTATTCAGAGAAGGAGCGAGCTGATCTGAACCCGTCCGGACTGGATGCACACAGTCCAGCCTCTAACAGAACACTGTGATCCTACCAGGTTAGCGGTACTGATACAGGAACGCTGCATCTTCTTTCCAACATCAAACAAAAACTAAACCAAAGCAGGTGATGTTCAGCAACAAGCTGGTGTTTCCTCACAGTGAAGGACTCTGAGGAGCTTTAAGAGACATTGGGTCTGCAGTAAACCTGATTGGTGCGGAGCGGCCAGTCTTCCCTTCTAGATTTATAGAAGCACATTGATCTAGATGGACCTTCCAGAACTTACGCTGGTTAAAACTCATGAACTTTTGTGATTTTTGATACAGAGGTCTCCTTTTGTAAAGCAAAGTAACGGAACATGGCTGGTCATCTGTGGCTCTATGAGGACAGAGGATGAAGATGTCGCCTCAGCATCGCTTCTCTATGAGCTCTGTGTATTTTTGGAGACATTAATCAAACGGCCAACCTTCATCCTCCATCTCTGCTCACTTTGACGTTTGCAGCGCAGCCGTTTGTTGGTCTCTTCTCTCTCTGGTTTGTATCTACAGACCCAGCAGCTCATTGTAAAAACTGAGATCAGAATCTTTCCCCTTGTTTCTGGTGAACATGTGATGTAATTGTTCTTTGGCGTTGTCTATAATTTATTTTTTCAATGATTTCCAGGACATGTTCACATTTCATTCCTTATGATGTTTTTCTAAAGCCATGCATGTGTGTGGAGCTGACCCAGAAATGATCTGTACAATAAAGAGGATTATTATCGCTCCTGTGGTTCCTGGTCTTTGTGGTTCCTAGGTGAGCAGTGGGATGTTGATGTTTATGGACCTGCGTCCAGCTGGGCTCAGATCAGTGCTGATGAAGGCCCTCTCTGATGGTGGGGTTCATGTTTTAACAAAGACGAACAATATCAGACCCCCTTCAGAGTCCTGGGGTCTAGGCCCTGAATAATCCACATTAGACATACGGATCATGGCTGAAAGAACCTGGGACTTCCACATTAAAAGAAGGTTGGTCTCCTTCAGTAGCAAGCTCGCTTCTGCTTCTCCTGCTTCGATGCATTATCTGGTTGCTTCAGCCACAATCCACGTCTTTGATACAGAGGTGAAGGGCTGGATGGTAGATGGAGCAACAAATCTAGAGCTTCAGCTCCTCCTTCAGACACAGACTGCAGCCAAAGATCTCATTATCGTCTCCATCTCTGTTCCTCCACTGAATGAAGGAAAGCTGTGCGGCTGCATGGAGGAAGGATTCAGAGAAGGTCAGTCGAGCTTCACATCGTTTCATTCCACTGACCAGTTTGTATCTTTTAAGACAAGCACTAAATACCCAACATCCTGCTCAGCGTCTGATCTAAAGTTCAGTGTCCATGAAGAGGTGAAGCACTGTTCAGCTTAAGGAGATAAACTCCATCCAGTTAGTCTGTAGTGAAGATAATTCAGTGGAAAGAGAAGCTGGTGCCGTTTCTCCTTGGTACCACATTGCAGAGCTCCAGAACTCAGACTTATGCTACGTTCAGACCGCAAGCAGCAGCAGCAGAAAAAACGCTTAACAAGTTTAGTTTTGAGGCACAGCTGAAGCATCTTTGCTGCTCTATCTGCGCAGTGGTAAGTGGGTCTGATGCGCGTTGGGTGGAGCTACCCCACCTTTCTTTGCCTGTAACAATGGCGGCTATATTTGCTGTGATCAGTGGGTAAAATGTAGTTTTAATATGTTTTTATGTGAAAAAAAAACACCTGAAAACTTAATCTGTGCAGTCAGTTCATCCAGATTACCATCCTGCCTTCAAATATTGTTTCTCTGTTGGAGCCGCTCAGACCCCCGTACACCGGCAGTACGCTTTCACTGGGAATCCCGTTCAACAGCAGCCTCTGGGCCGGTCACCTCTTTGCAGTTTTCCACTACTGTTCGCAGCGGCTGGAAGGTGTTTTTCACATACGAAATCCAAACTGCAGGCACCAGAATAATCAAATCAAACCTATTTTGTCAGCAGGATTCG